CTCTGTAGACTCCCTCTGCTTCCAGAACGCTCGGAATAAAGGCATGTACCAGCACACCCGCCCTTGTTCTCATTTATTTGAGACAGGCTCTCCTGTGGCCCAGAGTGGCCTCAAACTTGCTATGTGGCTGAGAATGGCCTTGAACTCCTGAATCCTCCTGCCTCCACCTCCTGAGTGCTAGGATTGCAGACACACACCACCAAACCTGGTATGTAGCCTAATTGTTAAAATGTGAGACGTTTGCTTTTATTTTTGGCCTTTTGTCTGTAGAATCTAAGGAGAGTTCAAGGCCAATTTAGACTACAGTGATACCTTATCTCAAACAAATAAAGAAGCACAAAAAGGAGTTTTAGCTAGGTGTGTTGGCCCATGCCTGTATCCTCAGTACTTGGGAGGCTGAAGCTAGAGGAAAGGATTGCCAGGAGTTCGAAAACCTGGGCTGCAATGTAAGTAGCTATGCGGTTGTAGCTCAGAGGCAGAGTGCCTGCTTAGCTTATGTTAGGCCCTATACTAGATTCCCAGCGACCCGTACACAATTTTACCAGTGCTTGCCTAGCACTCTTTCTCTAATTACTTAATGTTATGGACTGGTCAACTGGTTTTTTCTTTTTTTAATATTTATTACTTTTATTTCATGTGTATGAGTGTTTTACCGGCATGTATGTAAGTGCACTCATGTTGTGCAATACCTGTGGAGGTCAGAAGAGGGTGTCAAATCCCCTGTAACTAGAGTTATGGACAGTTTTAGCTGCCATGTGGGTTCTGGGAACCAAACCCAGGTCCTCTGCAAGAGTAGCCAGTGCTCTTAACTACTGAGCCATCTTTTCAGCCCTGGTTTTTTTCAAAGCTGACACTTTAGAGTTCCAGGATGATTGCTAAATGCTGAAATGAAAAACCCAAGGAAAAAAAAAAATCCCAAATTTTGCCCCTTGTTTATTGTTGTAGCTTACCATCTATAGCTCTTCAGTTAATTTTTCAAAGTCTAGGCAATCGCAGTCTGCAGAGTCCTCAAATTTGATTGATTTCAGGTTCCAAAGACTAAATTCTCAGCTGGTCATGGTTATACATGCCTTAATCCCAGCACCTGGGAGGCAGAGGCAGGAAAACGAGGGTTTGAGGCTAGTCTGAGCTACATGGTGAGATCCTGTCTTAAAAATCCCAGGGGGTGGGGCTGGGAAGATGGCTCAGTGGTTAAGAACACTGATTGTTCTTACAGAAGACTTGGGTTCAAATCCCAGCACCCACATGGCAGCTAACAACTGTCCATAATTCCAGTTCCAGGGGATCCAACAGCCTCTTCTGTCCTCTGTGGGCATTGTACAACATGGGTGCACTTACCTACAACCTACATGCAGGCAATACACACATACATATAAAATAAAAATAATTTAAAAAATATTTTTAAAAAAACTAATTTAAAAAATCCCAGGTGGCAATGGGATGGGGTTGAGTCTCCACATTTTGTTGCATGTCTATAATCCCAACACTTGGGAGGTGGAGGCACAAAGATCCCAAGTTCATCCTCAGCTGCACAGCAAATTCAAGACCAGCCAGGATTACATAAGTACTCTAGTTTTTGGTCTCAAAAAAAAAAAAACACTGTCATGGCTGGCAAGATGGCTCAGTGGTAAATGTGCTGGCTGCCAAGCCAAGCATGATGACCTAAGTTCCATTCCTAGCAATCACATGGTAGAAAGAGAGAACTGACTATGGAGGGTTGTCTTCTGACCACCACATAGGTGGTATGGCATGTGCACATACCCATGAACACACACTCACTAGATAAATAAAATGTAATAAAAAAAATTTAACTTCCCTTCTACCACCACTACCACCAAAAAAAAAGGAAAGATTAACAAAATAATAATAATAATAATAATAATATGGTGGCATATGCCTTTAATCCTAGCACTTGGGAGGCAGAGGCAGGCAGATCTCTGTGAGTTTGAGCCAGCCTGGTCTACATAGTGAGTTCCAGGTCAGCTGGGGCTACAGAGAGACCCTATCTCAAAAAAGACCAAAATAATAATAATAATAATAATAATAATAATAATGATAATGGGAGCTGGAAAGATGGATCAGCAGTTAAAAGCACTTGCTGCTCTTGCAGAGGACCAGAGTTCAGTTCCCAGCACCTACCTTGAGAGGTTCACAACTGCCTAGCTCTGAGGGATCTGACACCCTCTTCTGGCCCCTGCTGGCACCTGCACAGATGTGTATATACATACATATAGACACACATGTATATGTAAGTAAAAATGAAAGTAAATCTTTTAAAAGTTAATAAAATTTTAAAACAATAAAATAAAAATAAAGGTAATCCTTGCATACAGAGCCCAACTGCCCCTAAAGGTGTTCATATTTTAGCCCATTCTATTTTGATATCAGCAGATCCAGACATTTGATGTGGTTAGGCCAATTGAACTCACAGGTTGTCTCATAAACCACAGCACCAACTTCTTCTTAGTAGCTACTTCCACACACAAATATAATCATGTTGGTTCTTTATTTCATTTATATCCTGTAGGATTAGGTCAAAACTCCTCCCTCAGTATCTAGGAAAAACATACTGTGAAAAAAAAAAAAAAAAGGGGCAGCTGGAAAGATGGCTCAGCAGTTAAGTGCCCATAGTGCTCCTGCAGAGGACCAGAGTTCAGCTCCCAGCACCCACATCAGGTGACTCACACCTGCCTATAATTCTAGCTCCAGGGGATCTGACACCTCTGGCCTCCTGTGGGCACCTGCACTCACCATGCACATGTCTGCACACATACACATAATTAAAAATAATTTTAAAAAAAAAAGAGAGAGAAGTAAAAGAAAAGCCCACTGTCTTCTTTCCCTAAACTTGCACAGTACAGAATGTCACCTTCAGTGCAGGGCCTCTCTGACCAGCCTGCCCACACAGCACACCCATTTAACTGCTCTTAGTTCTGGGCCCTTATCTTACTAGGCTGTAAGCAGTCCTGCCTACAAGCCTGAGTCTCCGTCAGATAGCGAACTCTTCAAGTCCTAGAACTCTGTTGCATTTATCACTGTAACCCAGACTGTGGCACGAAACACAAGAATCTCTATAAATGTTGAACTGAGTTGAACTTACGCACTTGTATTTTCTTCAATTATTTCCTTTTCTTTCTCAAATTCTTATAAAAGTTAATTTGGAAAATGTCAGCCTGTTTCAGCTCTCCTCAGAGGAAGGAAGGAAAAGGGCATTTTTGCATGCAGGGACTGAGGAAAAGCACATCCTTAGGGGCTGGGATGGAGCCTGCTGTGGAAAAGCAAGTGAGAGTTTACATAGGGAGGAACAAAGGCAGCAGGAAAAAGCCAAACTAAACAGCAGTAGTCAGCCAGGGTGGTGGTGCATGCCTTTACCCTGAGCACTTGGAAGGCAAAGGCAGGTGGATCTCTGGGAGTTCCGGGCCAGCATGGTCTACATAGTGAGTTCCAGATCAGTCAGGGCTACAGAGTGAAACCCCGTCTTGAAAAAAACAAAAAGCAGCGGTGCCCAGTGGTGGCACTCGCTTCTAGTCCCAGCACTCTTGAGAGGCAAGAGGCAGGCAGATCTCTGTGAGTCCAAGCCAAGCCTGGTCTACATAGTGAGTTCCAGGACAGCTGGGGCTACAGGGAGGCCCTGTCTCAAACACACACACACGCGCGCACACACACACACACACACACACGCGCACACACACACACACACACACACACACACACACACAAAAGAGGTCTGGAGTGATGACTTGGCAGTTAAGAGCACGGACTGCTCTTGCAGAGGACCCAGGTTCAATTCCTGGCACCTGGATGGTGGGTACCAATCATCTGTAACTCTAGTTCCAAGGGATCTAATACCCTTTTCTGACCTCCGTGGGCATTGCACAACATGGGTGCACCTACCTACATACAGACATTACACTCATACACATAAAATAAAAATAATAAATAAAATTTATTTAAAAGACAGAGAGAGAGAGTGAGAGGGAAAGAGAGAGAAATTAGGGGGCTGGAGAGATGGGTCAGAAGTTATGAGCACTGGCTGCTTTTGCAGAGGAATCAGGTTCAGTTACCAGCATCCATACTGCAGCTAACAACCATCTGTAACTCCAGTTCCAAGGGATCCAATGCCCTCTTCTGGCCCCTTTGGGCACTGTACAACATAGGTATACATACCTACATACAGGGAAAACAATCATACACACAAAATAAAAATTTTTTAAAAGTGTTTTCTTTTCCTCAGTACCTCCCTTTCTGTGTATGTGTTTAAGTGTGTGGCACCTTTTAGCCCCTGAGTCATCTTTTTACCCACTGAGTCATCTCACTGGCCCTTTTTTTCTTATTTAAATTTTTTTTTAATTTTAAATTTATGTGTATGAGTGTTATGCCTGCATGTATGTAAGTGCATCTGTGTCCTTCAGTATCCACAGAGGTCAGAAGAAGATGTTGGATCCCCTGGAACTGGAGTTATAGATGGTTGTTATCCACCATGTGGATGCTGGGATTCAAAGCTGGGTCTCCTACAAGAGTAGCCAGTGCTCTTAACTGTTGAGACATCTTTCCAGCCCAATTCTTTCTTATTTTTAAGGTCTATTTTTATTATTTTTAATTATGTGTGTCTGTGTGCGAATATGTGCACATGAGTGCAGGTGCCCTCAAAGGTCAGAGGCATCCGATCCCCCTGGAGCTGGAGTTACAGGCAGTTGTGAACTGCCTGACATGGTTGCTAGGAACCATGCTCTGGTCTTCTGCAAGAGCAATATGTGCTCTTAACCACTGAGCCATCTCTCCAGCTCAGCCCCCACTTAAAAATATTTTTTAGTTGAATTTTTGTGATTTTCATACAATATATTTTATCATATTAAGACCCCCTTTCCTATCTGCACCTCTCTTGTATGTAGCCCCCTGCCAGATTTCATGTACTTTGTCACATATATTAATTAAGGCCTATCAAGTTTACATCCCCAAATGTCCATCCACTGGAGCATACTTAACCTATGTAGTGTCACAAAAATATGGAATGCTTCACGAATTTGCATGTCATCCTTGTGCAGGGACCATGCTAATCTTTTCTATAGTATTCCAGTTTTAGTTTATGTGCTAAGTGAACACACAGCACCACTTTCTAATGGTTCCAGGGACTGAAACTAGGACCTTGTGCATGTCCTGAGCTACATCCTCCAGTCATTTGGTTTTTTTTTTTTTGAGACAGGGTCTCATGTAGTCCAGGCTTTAAATTCATTATATAGTGGTGATAGTTAGTTTTAATTGTTGGCTTGACACAATAGAATCACTTGGGGAAAGAGTCTCAGTGAGGGATTATCTAGATAGTTTGGCCTATGGGCATGTCTGTGGAAGATAATCTTAAATTGATTAAGGTGGGAAAATCTTCCTACTGTGGGTGGGTAAGAATTCTGAGCTGTGTAAGACTGAGACTGTGAGCTGAGCACTGAGAAGCAGAAATGTGCTTATTCACACTCTGTTCTTGACTATGGAAGTCATGTGACCTGCTGCTTCAAATTCCTGTGACCTTGACTTTCCCACAAGGATGGGCTGTAACCTGGAACTGTGAGCTAAAATGTCTTTTCTCCTTTAAGTTGCTTTTGCCAGAGTATGTTATTACATCAGCAGGAATAAGACAGTAGCCAAGGATGAACTGGAAACCAAAACTTTACTTTTTTTGAGTTTTTGAGACAGGGTCTCTCTGTAGCCCCAGATGGCCTGGAACTCGATATGTAGACCAAACTGGCCTCACCTCTGCCTCCTGAGTGCTGGGATTAAAGACATGCACCATCATGCCTGGCCTTAGAACTTTCCTTCCTTCTTCCCCTGCAACCCCCTTTGGGAGATGGTTTCATTGTATAGTCTTTCCTGTGTGGCTGGTGTGGAACTTGCTATGTAGACTAGGCTGGCCTTGAACTCAAAAAGACCCACATGCTTCTGCCTGCTAAGTGCTGGGATTACAGGCATGTCTGGCTCAGAATAGCTTTTGAGACAAAGAGAAATGGCTTTCATTCATTTGCTCTGTCCATTCCAAGCACTTAGCTCTGTTCGAGTCAGCTGGGAGCTGACTATGGAGGGTGGCAATGGACCAGGGATCCCCAGTCTTTCCTTTTAATCTGGATGGTGTTTACCAAGTCTTCAGCCTTAAAGTCATTAGTGGTGCTTTCTGCTGTACTGTAGAAAAATGGATTTTGCCTCAATTCCTGATTCCTGTTTAAATATTTAGTTTAATCAGCACGGACCCAAGTGCCTTTTCCATTTCCCCTGGTGCCTGGGAGACATGCTGACACCAGTGTCATAAATAATGCATGTGATCCCAGCAACATGTCACTGGCAGGGGGTACTCCATCCTTCAAGTCTCTGGGCCTACCCTGTCCTGTAGCTGCTTTGGGGAAGCTGAGTTTACCAGAATGGTCCTTCTGAGCTCTAAAGGACTGGGCCTCAAAGCTGTGCCTGGAAGGAGTCATTGAGACTCTATCCCAGACTGGAGGGGCCTATGAGGGACTGTGAGGTGGTATTGGTGGGTTAGGTACAAATACCAAGGCCAAAGAGTGTTCAAAACTGGAAGGAGATTTGAAGGTCACTTAGCCAGGGCCCAATTTAGGCTCTGTGTGACTTCCAGGCAGAAATAGAGAACAAAGGGCCAGTTAAGTTTAAGGACAAAAAAAGCCATGGCATGCTTGAACCTTCTCTCCCTACCTCTAAAACTCGAGTTCCTAACATGGGCTCCACTCTTCATTACAAAGGCACACTTGAGTTTTTACTCCATCATCTGTCTCCTCTACTGAAAGGAACTGATGGTTGGATTTGGCTGGACAGGTCCTGGGCATCTTTTGCCAAAACCTCAGAAAGTTTAAACTGCCTCCAGGTGCCCCTGTCTTTGGAGCCAGAGCTCTGATCTGAGCAATTAAACGTGAAGCATCATGTCAGTTGTCACTAATGACATGCTCCTGGCCTGTCTTTGTAAAAGCAGCTTCATGGGGGCTGCTCTGTAGTACACTTTTTCTCCAAAACTTCGCAGAGATAAAAGGAGACATAAACAATGATTTATTTATCCAAAAGTTCAAGGTTTAGCTTTGAGCTCTCCAATATTTTTACTTCTTTTTTGAAATCAAGAGCACAAATAAACTTCCCTCTTTCTCTTATAGAAAGGGCAGCCTCTATAAACCTACAGATAAAGATAAAAGGAACTGATGAAAGGCACAAATTCTAGTCTCTGTCCCTTTATTTGACAGAGTGGGGGATTAATGAGTCCTCCTCCCTGTCCTGGAGTCATGGCTAGAAACTTACTGACTCATTTCCAGCTTCCTAGGTCCTGAAGAATAAAAACAAAAGATGGAGCTGGGAGCTAGACAAGATGGCAGATGTCTGTAACCCCAATACAAGGGGAAGTGAGGCATGCTTGAGGCTAGCCTGGACAATTTAGAGAGATTCTGTCTCAAACTACAATTTAAAAAGAAAAAAAGAGGTGGAGGCTGGGGAATGTAACTCAATGGTAGAAGGCTAGCTTAACTTGGGTTTGATCCCCACACTACCCAAAAATGTATGTGTGCATGTGTCTGTGTGTCTATGCAGATATTTAAGGACACACATACACATGAAAAATTCTATATCCATTAGTCATGGCAGCTACCACTCTACTCCAAGCCTTCCACACTTCTTTTCTTCCTGGACTAAGTTAATCTCTTCCCTAGTTTCTCTGTTTTCTTTCTCCTAGTATATTTCCTGCAAAGCACACAAATGATCCTTTAAAAACACATCATGGGCTGGAGAGATGGCTCAGCAGTTAAGAGCACTGACTGCTCTTGCAGAGGACTCAGGTTCAATTCCCAGCACCTACATGGTGGCTAACAACCGTCTGTAACTCCAGTTCCAGGGAATCTAACACACTTTCTGGCCTCTACGGGCACTCATGCACACGTGGTATACACACAGACATACACGTACACATAAATTTTTTAAAAAACTAATCATGGGGCTGGAGAGATGGCTCAGCAGTTAAGAGCACTGACTGCTCTTGCAGAGGACCCGGGTTAGATTTCCAGCACCCACATGGCGGCTACGAAACGTCCTTAACTCCAGTTCCAGGGGAATCCGAAGCCCTCTTCTGATCTCCGTGGCATGGCACAACACGGGTGCACTCACATACACGCAAGCAATACACTAATACACATAAAATAAAAATAATAAATAAAATATTTTAAAAAATTAATCACACATATTAGGGCCTGGATTGGTAGCACATACCTTTAATCCCAGCACTCAGAGGCAGAGGCAGGTGGATGAGTTTGAGGCTACCCTGGTCTACATAATTCCAGGATAGCCAGGGTTACATAGAGAGACCCTGTCTTATAAAAACAAACAAAAAGTTATGTAGGTTAGATTGCCATCAGTTGATGTTTAAAACCTTTTAAACATTTCTCATTGTACTTAGAATAAAATTCAAGCCCTTGGGGGCTGTTAAGAATACTTGTTGCTCTTCCAGAAGACCTGGGTTTGGGTCCCAGCATCCACATGGTAGCTCAAAACCATCTGTAACTCTAGTTCCAGGGAATTTGAGGCCCTCTTCTGACCTCCCTGGACACCAGGCACACACATGCAGGCAAAACACTCATACACATAAAACAAAAGTAAACATTATATATATATCGGCTTTTTTGAGACAAGGTCTCCTTGTAGTCCCCTGGAACTTGCTATGTAGACCAGGCTGGCCTTGAATTTACAGAGATCTGCCTGCCTTAGCCTAAAGGTGTGTGCCACCAGGCCTGACTGTAAATAACTTTTTTTTTTTTTCAATCTTTTTGAGACACGGTCTCCCTGTAGCCCCAGCTGGCTTGGAACTCACTATGTAGACTAGGCTGGACTTGAACGCACAGAGATCTGCCTGCCTCTGCTTCTGGAGTGCTGGGATTAAAGGTGTGTGCCACCACGCCTGGCTGTGAATAAATATTTTTTTAAAAATGAAGTGCATGAGTATTAAACAACAGCAAAAATATCCAAGCCCTTTTCCACAGTCACCAGGCCCTAAGTGACCTAGATCCTAGTCACCCCTCTGACCTCACCTCCTACCCACACAGGCCTCCCTGTGTCATGCAGGTCCAGCTGCTTCTCTGAAGTACTCCTAAGTTATATCACACATCCCCATAAACAACAGAATACCAGTGTAGTGATGCACCTGCCGATGCCTTCACCAGTCTCTTTGTCTGGGAGTCCTCTGGCTTCCCAGATGCTGGTCTGTGTTTCCACAGTACCTGGTGGACGCTGGCAAGAACATCAAGCTCCTGTATGCAAAAATGCCCTTTCTTCCTTTCCTTCTCTCTTTCTTGTTTTGTTTAGGGGGAGTATTTATTCCTCTGTGGTGTGCGTGTGTGTGTGTGTGTGTGTGTGTGTGTGTGTGTGTTATATGTGTTGGTGTATGTGTATTTGTGCATGCACGTGTAGGCCGGAGGTGGATGAGGGGCTTCTTTCTCAGTCATTCTCCACTTTTGAGACAGGATGTCTCACTGAACCTGGAGCTCACTGATTCAGCTACACAGGCTGGTCAGTAAGCTCCGGGGACCTGCCTGACTCTGCCACCTCCTTTTCCCACCTCCCGCCCTGCTGTGGGGTTACAGATACTCAACTTTTACCTGGGTGCTAGGGATCCCAACTCAGGTCCTTGTGCTTGTATGGCAAGGACTTTACTACGAGCCATCTCCTCAACATCTGTTTGTTTAGGGGAGAGGAGGCAGTTTTGAGATAGGGTCTCACTCTGTAACCGTAGCTATCTGGCCTGGTCCTTGCTGTGTAAAGTAGGCTGGCTGTCATCAAATACCTGCAAATAATGTATTGTACACAGCAAAAGGCATTGGAGATATACCAGTCACCAAGCTAAACCAAATACCTGCCTCCTAAACTTGTGTTTTAGTGGGAAAAGATAGACAATAAATATATAAATATGTAAATATATGTAATATGTGCTAGTTTTGAATGATGTTGCAAAGATTAAATCAGGATTAGAGAACAGCAACAAATTGGTGTTGTGGTCAGGAAAGGCCTCTGGGCATCTCAAGAGCCAAACAGGCACCTAAAGAAGAGTGTAAATGAGCCCTGAGACATTAGGGCACAAT